AAATATATTAAAATATATTAAAAATAAACATGTATTGGAAAACAGCCTGCTTAGTGCTAAAAAAGTCATGTGGGTATCTGTGCTATTGTGAACAATTGGAAAGACTATAACATTTTAAACTATGAAACCAATTAACATATATGATTTTTTTTTTTTCCAAATGATTTGGGTTTCAGCATCTCAAGCAGGAACTCAATATTGTAGCATTTGTGGTGGGATTGGGGGATGGAGTTACTGGAATACATTCTACCCACTTTATCCAGTAATATGGAAGAGATACTCTGAACCTTTCACAGAGGGAAGGATGAATTAAAATTCATAATGAAAAACAGAACAAAAACTTGTGTTACGTGAAAGGTAAAGAGTTATGGTTGAAATTTTTAAAGCTGTGATATTATCCAAGGAACAGCATTTTTTCATTAGTATCCAGTCATACAGCAGCTCCTCTGTGGGCTTGCTGGTGCATACGCTGTAAATTAATAGGCAGAAATTGCATCAGAAGACTGTTATAACTGAATAATCTAATGAACCACTGAAAAAAGCACCCTGATCTCCAATTTGAATCTTCCACGCTACTTAAAATTTCAAACCAAATTTTCTCTTTTAGAAGATGATTTTGATATCTTTCTTGTCTCTGATTTCAAGTCATGTTTGTGTGACAAATAGAGGAAACCTGGATACGAGTATTTTTATTTAAACCAGGGGGTGGTTATGTTAAGAGGAAAATTAATTTTGAACATTTTAAGAAAACTTTCTGTTGCTAAATGAAAATAATCTGTTCTGTTTATGTAAAATTATCTGCAGAGCAATTGCTGGTTGGACTGAAAGACAAAGACACTATTGTCAGGTGGTCTGCAGCAAAAGGGTAGGTTTCTTATCGTTACTCTAAACTAATCAGCTTAGAAATACCGTCTGGTGTAATCCCTGATTGATAATTCTGTGCTTTGTCAGTATTCACAGGTACTTCAGAGAGCTTTAGCACATCTTACGGCATAAAGCCATGTTTGTGTCTTTTTCTGGGTGCATATGAAATGGGGCTAGTCTCCAGGAAAATTTCAGATAGGTTTGGAAATAAACCATCTGGATAAGACTCGACTTGAAGGGTGTGAAGTTGCAGTTCGTCAAAAAGCATTTCTCTCTTCCACTTGAAAAAATGTGTTTCTGTGTTGTTAGTGTGTAGGTTTTGCTTTGGGTTTGAGGTGGTTGTTTCGGGGTGACGGTGGTAGGGTATTGCCATCTTGAAGTCACTCCTCTTACTGTAAATTTCCAGTAACTAAATTTTTTATTGCACTTACTAATCAGATCCCGTACTGATGAATCATGGAATGATCTTTTTTTTCTTTTAACTTTGTAGAATTGGTAGAATAACTGGAAGACTTCCAAAAGAATTAGCAGATGATGTGATCGGGTCTCTGCTGGACTGTTTTAGGTAAATACCTTATTTCATGTTTTACATATGTCTGAAACATATTACGAAGCAGGAGGACAGCAGTTAGGAAGACAGGCCTAAAAATCTGTAAATTTTGTTGCACTTCCAGATTTCAGACTCCTCTAAGGCTAAGGGTGTTCATTAAAGAAATTATTCCTAATCCTTCATCTTGACCCTGTTCTAAAGCACTGTGAAGGGACTGAAGTTGAATAGAAAAATAAAAATGCTCATTAATTTGCTGTTCTAAAGATTTCTGGTGTGCTCATGTCTTGAGTGTTGTGTGCATCTTCAGAAACTGGAAATTATATTCAAAAGGGTTCTGAGAATCACCAGAGATAAGAAGTAATCTCCATGTAAGGGAAGGCTAAAACATCTAGGAAGAGTGAGGAATAAATGGGGTACAGTACAGCTTTATGAAGTCGTGAATGGTGCAGAAATGATTGCCCTCTAGATTTTTGCGTTGTTAGAAGCAAACTGAAGTAGCAGGGGGCAGGTTTGGAATAAAGAAAAGGTGGTGGTCATTCACACAGCACATAGTTAAACTGTTAAGAACCTCATGCTGCAGGATGTTGTGGATGGAAGAGTATGTGCCTGAACAAAAAATGTTTTTCTTTTCTGCAAAATTGTCCACGACCTGCTGCAGTGTGGGTGTGTTTTGGAGAGGCTGCAGTATGTTTGTACTATACCTAAGGAATGTCCTGTTGGCCGTGTCAGAGAGAGGCTTTTGGGCTAGCTGAAACTTTGGTTTCGTCACATACAGCTGCTAGGATGTTCTGTTGATGCACTTTATGGTTGCATGTCTTGTTTAATAATTTAGCCCTTTCATGCTCTGCATGGATGCAAAACCAAGTATCATACACTTTTTTTTTAATAGCAAGTTGCTCATCAGGTCTACACTGAGTACTTGAGCTTTAAGATCTAAACTAGTGTTTTAGAGTAAGCTAATAACAAAAATTATAATTTTGTTATTGTTAAACAATATTGCTAATGTTCAGTTTGCCACTCAGATGTACTGTTTTAAAAAATCTTCTCATATTGGTTGGGAGTACAAACTAAAAATACGAGCTCAAAGGTAACACATTATTAGAAAAGGAAGGTATAAGGTCTTAAGAAATTGCAAGGAAAGTATCTACTTAGGCGATACTTCACTGCGTTACTGTGATTAATTGAAGAGGTTCTGCAGATCTCAATTATCCCTGGAGCTTCAAAGAGCTGTACTCACCGTGTTTTCTTTCCTTGTTTTTCAAGTCATAGGGATGAGTAATCCAACTAGTAATTGAGTGACCTGCTTTCTTCAGAAACACCTGGGAACAAATGTAGGCAAGGGCAAAGGGAATCTCTTCCATAGACTTTGCACTAAATATCTAGTGACCAAAATAAAAATAAGTCTGTTGGTCATCAGAGGCGCTTTAAGTTATATCCCTTGGGATAAGAAGAAAGGATTTCTTATACGTAGATAGATTAAAAAAATAGAGACAGGGAAGAAATGAGTGATCATTTTTCACAGGGTGGTGAGATTATCAGCACAGTCCTGCAGGGGCCTGCATGAGCCTTGTGCTGTCAAGATAGTCATAAAGGATCCTAGAGAAAAGGTGGAGAGGGGGTGAGGAAATTGCCTGGCGATTTGTTAATGTAGTGAATACTATAGGTGTCAGAAAAGAAAATATTACAGAAGCCTAAGTTAAGTAACTAGACAGTATGTGGTACATGAAATATAATGTCTAATGAATGCAAACCAATGCACTTGGGAAAAAATGCAGCTGGCTGTAAAACAGTTATTACTTTACTACTCAGGAAATGGGTCTTGAACTCACTGGTAGTTCTGTCAGAATGCCAGTGGAATGCTCAGCAGCTCTCAGAAAAAAGAAGGCAAAGGGAACGTTAGATATTATTAGGAAAGGAAGAGAGAACAAAACTGAATCACTGAAAAGCAGCTTAGGTGATGGAGATTCTTCCGAGTGCAGAGAAGAAGTAGAGGGCTTCAATAACGATACATAAAATCATAAATACGAGCAAAAGAGGGAAAGTGAGTACTTGTTTACTGTTCACGATTTCTCACAATGCGAGAACTGGGAAGCATCAGGAAGTACATTTTCACGCAATTATAATTACACTGTGGAAGTCATTGCCACAGGATGTTATGGAAGCCAGAAGTGTGAAGGGAGTTCAAAAACGGATTATACAAATTAATGGAAGAGAGTCCCATCAGAGGTTATTAAATATGACATTCTGGCTGCAACCTCTGGCTTGGGAAGTCTCCGTACTGCTGGTTGCCAGTAAGGGAATGATCCTGTGTGCTTTGTCTTTGGCCAAGCATCTGCTATTCATCCATGTGCGACAGGTTACTGGAGAGATGAAGTTTTGATACAACCTAGTCTGTCTGTTCAAGGTTTTATTCTTAGATTCCTATTCCTGCTTTAATACAAGATGAACTTTTTGCATGTTTAGTCATGCAGTGTGCAGCCTTTCCCCTTTCCACTCCTTTACCTGCCAGTCCACCAAAAACTGTACCATTTTTGATTTTTTTTTTCTGTGTTCACTACAAGTTGCTCTGTTTTGTTTTGTATATTTTAAAGGTGGATAAACACCACTGTCTGCTCATTGCACAAGCTCGTATAATGTGTTTATTGGAAACTATCTCTTGAACCTCTTTTGCTAGTTAAGGACTGTGGCACTAAATTCATTAGTTATTTTGGGTATGTTTTGTAAATCTACATCTTTTGCCAGCGTACTAGAAAGTAGTTTCCCTTTCCTGGATGAGTTTCAGGTAAAGTGCTCTTCTGTACTGACATTACACTTGTTGATAAACGAGTTTTTTTCTTATTTGGTCATGTTCATTGCAGTATCTATGTTGCACAAAATGGGCAAGAAAACATATTCAACTTGTTATTCTTACATTTTCTAAGTCTAACAGGATTAAAAACACAATAAACACATGCTGGTTTGGATTATGTGTCTTTTAAAATGTTGAGAATTCACCATGAAAAATAAAATCTGAAAATAGAAAGCTAGGCTTAACAAAACTTGTCTTTGTCCTAAAATTAGTTTCCAGGAAACAGATAATGCGTGGCATGGTGGATGCCTGGCTCTGGCTGAATTAGGCAGAAGAGGATTGTTACTCCCTTCCCGCATTTCAGATGGTGAGTTGTAGTTGCTGAATGTTACTAAATTCATGAATTAACAATTTATAGTATTAGAGATTGAATGTGTGGCAGTAGACTGGAGCTTGCTGATATGAGTGTGCAAAAGAATGACTTTCTGCAGTACAAAGTACGCCGATAGGGTACTTCTGTCAAAAGCATTGTGTTGGGTGTGCCTTTGTTATGCTTAATAAATTTTTCTTTCCAAAATGAAATGAGTTTCTTGGGGTTTTCTTCTTATTCCCTGCCCTGTTTCCTTGAGCAGTTGTATAAAAATAATTCTGTATGTCTCTATACTGTGTCAGTGTCATTATTTAAAGAGAATATATTAAATAATTGATGACTAACTTGCACTTTAAAGCTTATGCAGTTCATTTCTGATTAACTTTCAGAGGCCAATTTTGCATAATTTATGCTATGAACTGTTTGGGCTTTTGAAATGTCAGTATGGAAAGAAAAATAACAGGGCAGAGGAATTGTTTCTATGTGTTTTCTTTATATATCAACATACACCGAAGTACAGAAATACCAGTGTGAAAGTAGTAGTTTTCTATTTTGGAATTCTGGTCAGTTTTTTACAGAGTCGAAATGACAAATACATAATGTAGTAGTACACATCCACTATTGGCACTTCTGCAGCGGTATGTTGGGCTAGATGGTTCTGTTAATCTCATGTGGTACTCCTGTGTTGAATAGAGAAGTTGAACACTAGTTTTCAGAAAAGTATCAAAGCTGGTGTTTCTTACTAGTAAGTCGGGTTGCCAAAGCTTTTCTAATCTGAAGACCTGTTAACTTTCTCCAGAAGGAACTGTGAAATATGGTACTTAATACAGTTAGTTCTTCTGTCTGCATGAAAAGAGCTCATGTCCAATATAGTACCTGTTTTGCATGTGAGAATTTTTGTGCAAACAGCCTTCAGTTGATTTCCTTTTCCTAAGTGCTTTTGCTCTTTTATGATAAAGTTCAACAGTTAAAAGAACCCCGACTTCAAGAATGGGAAGTCATCCAAATGTAAGCATCTGTTTTAATTCTAACAAAACAAAAACTGCACACTTCTCTCAAGGAATTGTGACAGCCTTATGTAATAGATTTTATTAAGTCTAAACTGGAAGTTTTATGCAAGTTTGATATTGTATAAGACTGCAAAGGTGTGAGTGAATCCTAGCTCTGCCAGTGATTGGACCTGTGCTGTGAAACCATCTCTGTTCACTTTTAGGTTGAGTTTTTGTGTATGTAGAATGGGGATGATAGTTGCATCCTTCACACCCTTATCTTTCTGCGGAGATACAATGAAAATACATTGCTCCCCGTTAAAGTGATTTTAATGTACATAGATTTGTATGCAAATTTTAAATTTGCAGATTGCATAAGGTGTAGCCTTCTATTACTGGGGTGGAAGAATCAAGCTAAGATGGGGGAGGAAGGGCAGGAGAGACCACGATGTTTTTGAGTTAGACATGAAGGTCTAAGGTAAAGTGATTTTATAGGAATTGTAAGTTTCTTAATGAAACAGCTGTAAGATTTCCAACGGTCATTGTATATGAAGATGGGTAAGCAATCTAATCAGAGACTATCTTGACTAAACTGCAGCTCCTTTGGTTATCTGACACTCAGGAATGAGTTCTGCAGAAGACAGAAAGGTATGATACTGTGAGATAAGTAAAAGAGGATAGTAGGGGTAGAATTTGGAAAGACTTGCATATAAAATGAGATATAGCTAGTGAGGAATATAACTGGTAATGACGAATCATGTTAAATCTTCACCAGCGTCAAACCTGTATTATCGTTGAGCAGATTTGGTCGGCAGAATAGCCATGGCAGCTTGCCATCATCCCTCTCCATTTCTTTTGCTTTAATGGACCTTGTTTTCCACTTAAAGTAAATTGAAAAAATAGTTATACTAAATACAGTTTATTCTAGTTCAGTTTGCAAGACTGCCCCATTCAGTTTTGCTTTATGAAGTTATCCAGTGAAGTTAATGCAGTAAAAATTTAAAGTCAATTATAATAATTGGGACAAAGACAAAGGAATGAGTTCTGGAAGAAAAGCTAACAGAGTGATGTTAACACTAACTGTGTTGTATTTTGAAAATACAAATGCAAAGTAGTATTGCTCGTTAGGAATAAGTAACTGCACAATTCAAGGTACACGGAGTCGCTTCTAGTCAGCAGTTACAGAGGAAAGGACTTAAGAGTTCATGTGGGTCACCCACATCAATCAATAATTTTATTTATTTTAGTAGTACAAGGTGGCGAAAAAGAAGTCATAAACAGCGTGTCGTAATACTTACATCTCACTTAATACTAACATCATGTGACATAGAGTATCATCTTAGGACATCACACTTCAAAGCTTATTTAAAGAAAGCTAACCTAACACTGCAGAAATCATGAGAATTACAGAAAATAAGACTAACAGGGAAACACTGACAGAACTAAGGTTATTTGGTTGAGAGAAGGCAAAGCTGAAAGCTTATTCTCTTCCTCTTAAAAGAAAACCTTTGCTTTTGACAGCTATTTTCAGTGACCAGAACAAGACTAAAGGTGATGAGTATAATTTGCAGCAAGAGAACAGTTAAATAAATATTAGGACTGATTTTCTTACTCTGACAGAACTGGAGCCCTACAACAGTTTGTTTATGGATATTGAGTTAGAAAGATTTCTGTTAGGAAGGACAGAAAATCAAGTTAATCAAGGTATGGAGAGCTATTTGAGTCATTAACCTTCATGGTTCCCCTCAGCCCAGGTTTTGTGTAATTTCAGGAATGGAGATGAGGTAGACTTCACCACTGGAACTTGTTTTTGTGAACAATATTTGTTTAAAGATGGTGAGAAACAGATCCTTGAATTGTATGGAAAAACACCAAAAAGTTTTTCCTGGTTGACTTAAAGAAATTCAAATTAATAATAAAAAAGATACATGAGGATTTTTTTCTTTTAAATTATGGATAAGGGAAACTACGAAAGTTTCTGCATCCAGAGATAAGTGAGGCAAGTTAGCTTAATGTAGTTTAAAAATCATCAGCGGCAACACTAGACTGTAGTTTCATGTTTTGAAATTACGAATTTGGTGGCATACATCCCTAATCTTGAAGCTGTAAACTTGGCCTAGAAAGAAGCTTTCTCCCAGTTTCATCATGTACTGATGTACAGCTTGATACATCATCCTTTCTTACTGCCTTGATGTTGTAATTGGAGTTAACTGGACATTTTTTCTGCTACCATATTCCCTTTGTTCAAGCTCAGGTTGATATTCTTGTCTTTTGATAAACTAGGAAAAGCTCTTCTCTATGAAAGACTAAATTAAAGATCAATGTTGTTACTCCTTTTTTGTTTCTTAGCTCAGAAACCTAAGCCCGTAATCTACTGTTTAATGGCCAACTCCTTTCAATGCTCTGGCTGAGCTGTTAGCTGAAGACACCATGGCACAAACACTTAGAAAGCAAAATTCTGGGAGCCCTACATTGCGTTGACTGCAGCTCTGCTTCCTTATGTAGCTTTGTACCTGCTCGGGATGGTTAGGCAGGGGAGGATGTCTCTTATCTGAAGAATGAATCAATGAGAAATGTATAACCTTTGTTTTAAGGGAATAATACTTTGTTTGGGTTTATTTTACTTAGAATAATACTGCGTACTGTGCAAATTTACATGGGGTAGTTATACAGGGAACAGCCTTATTTTAGTTAAACGCTTGTAGCTGTGTGGATAAGCTGGACAGCAGCTTTACAGCAGAGGGAATTCTGCATGTTTCTCATGTGGAGCCAAAGTCCAGATGAATTAATCTGCATAATGAACTTGCTTCACTGAAGGAAGCTCCTTTTTTAGACTTGATTGGTATTCCATGCCAAATTTTACTTGTAAATTGAAAATTTAGCTAGCAATTTCTCTGCTGATTTTTCTTCAAAATATGTGTTAGGTATAGTGTAGAGAATGTATTTGTGTTAATTAATGACTTTCCATTTATTTTAAGTACAGGTCATAGATTTATTTGAAAAATTGCAAGTTTATATACACAGTTCTAGAAGCAGAAAATAGTTTTAGGATGTATGTAGAAGCACACTGAAACTCATAATTAGTGATACATGTATGCTGAAGTAAGAGCTTCACCAGGAGAGTTTGCCTCAGGAGAAATAAATTATATAAATAACCTTTTAGGCTTGGCGTTTGAAGATTGCCCAGTGTCTGTCAAACCTCAGAGGACTGGGCACCTAAATTGTTTAGATCTTCAGATTTTCAGTACTGCTTTCATAGTGGTTCAGTTAGAGGTGAACGTAAACTGCATTTCTTAAATTGGTGCAGTCTTTATTTGGCTGAACTTGAACCTTGTTCTCAGCCAGCATAAGAAAAACTTGGTTATACAAGGTTCACATCAGTTTGCTTCAACTGGTGTCTGCCTCCGAGTAACAAAAATGTTGTTTTGTACTATGGCATAAAGGCCAAGTGCATTCATACACAAAACAGTTTTTACAGTAAATTCTAAATAGCCAGGTTTGATCTTAAGCTTATTTAAACTACTGCACAGTGAAATAAAAAAAAAAATTCAAAGGCAAAAAAACCCTATTAAAAGAAATTAAGCCTGAAAAAGACTATGACAGTATGTTACTGAACAAGATCGGTTTTAGAGCTTAAACATCTTTTAAGAAAAGGTTGTAAAAGTTATTTTACATTAATACGATTGCAAAAAACCTTAAAGATTCAGCTAATGTACTTCGGCTTTAGTAATGAATGGAAAAATTCACTCATCAAAATCTGAGCTTATACAAGGGAAAGTTCAGTTACTTAAAAATATTAATATAAAATTATGAACATTATTTACATGGGAAAGATGGAACGTATCTTGTCATGGACCAAACCAAATCAAAGACGGTTTGTGGAGATTTTATAATGCTGCTGGTAACTAGTTTCTGTGACCAGAAACTCCTTGGAAAAGTGAAGTGTTAAGATACTCTTGTTCTCTTCCTTAAAGTGAAGACTCTGCTACAGTCATTCGGCCTTACTCT